GTCCCTGCATATCCCGCCTACCCTGCGTCTCAACAAAATGTGCCCCATCGCTGCGCCCAAATCCGACTTTACAAAGTATCTTAACCCAGACCCACATAACCTCGCACTCCTGCCTGGCATTACGGCCTCATCGGAGGTATTTGAGCTCGACAGCGACGTACACGTTTATATCTGCCGCCTAGTACCCTGTGCCACAGTCAACCACACTACAGTCTCTGCTCGGTGTGCTAACGAACCACCCATTTTCGAAATCCCAAAGCTCCGCCGCGCAACTACCACTCTCTCTACTACTCGTGGACCAGTCCACATAAACCAGGATACTGCTCATATAAGACCGGAAAAGTCTCGCAGTGTTTATATACATGTGTTTAGTGACTATTCTAAAACTGGAACTACAAGACAAGGCGGCGCTCGTTTGATGCTTCCGGGCTCTATTCAGCTTAGCTGTGGCGACGGCATACACTTGCAGCATGTTCGACCGGGTGCTAATATTTCTATTAAAAACATTGGCTATGATCGCGCTCAGTTCGTGCTCGTCGATATGCCTGGATATAAGAATGATGCCGACGCACGCAGTATCTAATATTTTTCTTATATATATCTTGTACTATTACAAATCCACCATTAAAATGGGAAGTTAGACTACTGCCGTTGTTAATTGAACACTCTCTGCGCCAACAACACCCAAAAAAAAACTATATTCATGACGACTCGATTTTGCAAAGCGCTACAAAAAAATTCAGAGTATATGCAAAAAAGATTGCCCATTATCGGAATCGAACCGATGATCTTCTGTTTACAAGACAGACGCTGTGCCTCTTAGCCAAAGGGGCGCTCTTTGTGGACTAGACGCCCAAGACTTCTCCTTGCGAGTACTCAGCTGAAATTATAACCACTACCTCGCCTTTGTATAAACGAAAAAAAAAATATCAGCTTGAAAGAGCTCAACGGGAAGTTATCTTTCCAAAACGCACAGGACAGCCATACCGACTAACCAATTGACCACTCTCAGACTTTTAATATCTACACTCCAAGCTCGCGGAATACACTGAGAGGAAACTATATTTATTTGGATTAGGATAATTTATTGTGCTTTCTTTCGTGATGTACGTGAATAACCATGTCAGCTTTGCAAAGAAAGAGTGGATACATTTTGCTCCAATAAAACCTATGAGCTTGTCTGCCATTGAGTGACCAACTAGGAGCTATTACTTGGCATCAAGAAAGTAAGCTCAGAGCCGAATAAGCTGTTGGAGGATATAGGGAATAGTAGTACACATGTCTTTTTCTTTTCTTTTTTACTCCCTTGCGCTTTTCTTCTATATCATTTTTATTATTTATGTATATCGCGGCCATTCTTTTGGAGAGGTGCAAGTAAACGACGGTGCATGTGTGACAAACCTACTTCAATAACTTTCATATATTTGATTAATGGTTGAAGGACTTTGAGCGAGAGTAATTGTAATATCAAATAAGAGAATATATTTCTAGTGATATATAAAAATAAGTAAAAATTATAATCAAGAGTGGTGCGAAATAAAATAAAGAAAGGAAAAATATGTACATATTGGTAACCTAGCTTTGGCCAGAATACGAGGCTGGAGGTGGAAAGACCGCCATTCACCGAGCTACAATTTTTGGTCGTTACAAGTACGACTGCTGCCTTGTGCTGACAGATATTGTTACGGCATATATGCACATTATAGCAATCCTAAACAGGACGTAAGGCGCAATATTAATGATGGGAAGTGCCAAGGGAACACTTGTTGGAGCATATTGGCAAGATGCGCAGATAATGGCAACCCGTGTAAGAGTATATACATAGAGTGCAGGCTACGATGCTTACTCAGTCTGGCAATCGGATAGTCACCTCTAGACTCTTGCAAGTCGCTACAGGAGCTATATCCAACCCAGTACTATTCAGACACTGATGTGCTCCACTCTACGATATTTCAATAGTTTGGGTGATGCAAATGATGGAAAAATATATGTTGAATTTGACAATTCGCAAAAAATTAAAATTAAAAAATATAGCTTATATAATTGTTGACTACGATCCTTGGGCAGTCGGTCGCTCCGGACAGTATATATAGCGACTTGCCGTTACCCCAATGATTGTCAGGTGAAGACCGCTCATCATCGGGGTTCGAACTAGTGGCCAG